AGATCTTTCTTCTTAGGTGCAAAATTTCTCGGCCTTATTCTAATTCCTGAATTCCGAAGCTTCTTATCATGTAGCCGACGCGTAATTCTGTCAATCCCGTCTCCTAATCCGTCAGCCATGTTTTTTAACTTAAGAGAATCCACATCATTCAATAGTTCTGAGAGAGATTGTCTAGGCTTAGTTTTGGTTCTAATTAGTTGATGCAGTCTTGTAATGCTTTCCTTGAGTATAGTTTTAACTAAACCACACGATACTTGATCTAGATCTCTATTCGTGGATGTCGGTAGATTATAACGTCTACCGAGTAAACAACACCTAGGAACAACATTATAAGAAATACAAATTTTTAAAAATCTGATTCTATTAACTTGCTGGGATATAGTTTTTTTGGTTGTAGTGTAACGATGAAGACAAGTGACAAGAAATCGAACCGTACGTACATTGTAGATACGAAGAAAATCTGGGTTTCGATGAATCTCCTGAGATAACATTGTTAGGGGGACCTTCATTTCGTATTAAAGTACATGAAGAAGAGATTCGTTCGTCGATCTCACCAGATGAGGACGGAAGAATCTCGTTGTACTATAGCCCTTTCGATTTTATACGATATTCATGTTGACGCAGTCCACGAGTTCAACCACCAGTCCTTCATCACCTTATGCAACCCAGAGTGAATACAGCTCTTACTCGAGATCCACTGGTAGTTTCGATAACCGCTAAATACGAGTATAGAATTCCGCACCTTTCTCGTCGTGCCTAGAGGGGGCTATCAACCTCGCTTGGATCTCACTCAAACCCTCGATGGGTTTCTAAACTGGGTCGTTTGTGTCATGTGGCACTTCTACTACTACTTAGACATCCATTTGGCAGAAGGGAGTGAATAAAGTGAACTCTCAATATTTAAGGATTGCTTTTACCTCGTCTGATTTCTAGCATCAAATCGATGAATTGGTATATCCCCAGGCATTTTGTGGGCAGTGTAGTCAGCAGTATGACTGAGAGGCGCCACCGCTAGCACCGGATTAATACCCGTCAAAGGGACGATTTTTCTGTCCAACCGTTTTTGCATCTCTCCTCGCCCCATCTTGGCCCCATCTCTTGGCCTAATTTCATATGGCCCCTTATCTATTCACACCTCTCCTCGATTGTGCCCATGTTGTTTGAGAGTGTATCACCTCAATTGGATTTGGTTAAGTGTGACCACCTTCACCACGGTTATCAGTTGACGACAACAGTGCGTCTTGTTCCCACTAAATACTTGCACTCAGCCATCCGCTTCATCCAACTTATGTCAGCTGTTCCCCACAGTGGTTAAAAATCGCTAGCCTATCTAACGGCTGTCTATATACTTCGACTCTAGCCCCCGTTTGCGTTATACTCGAGAATTTATTGACACGATCGGTCTTTACAATGTGACAAGACATGTTCGATAGCATCAGCAAGGACTTATCTCAAAACCGGGAGTCCCCATTCCAAATTC